TTTTTTTTTTCTCGTAAGGGATGCCGAGAGCTTGAAGATGCTATATCCTTTTTTTTTCTTCCAAGGACAGATTATACATTTAAGGTTACACTTAATTTATAGCAGTTTTTCATCCTACTGGAAATGGAAAAGTATGCCAATCTACTGTTGTCCCTTTCATTTTATTGACACTGGCTTGAACTAACGTGGAGCCATCAGAACCCACAGCCCAAACTCAACCTTTAAAAATTTAGCTTTGTTCAGCAAGATTGTGTTTGTGATAGCAGAGGAAGAAAGAAAAGAAACTTTTCAGAGACGAGAAATATGTTTTTAGGGCTTTAGGGGTAGGGTTCTGGATATCCTTACCCTGTCAGGAAGGACTCGCCTTACTGTAGAAAGGAAGGTAATTCAGGCATGGTGTGAAATACTTGTTGTTTTCAGGATGGGAACTGCACAGTAAAATACTTAGACTGTCTAGGAGAGATGGCAGTAAGGGGGCTTCCAACTGGGTGAAAACACAGTTTTGCATGAGCTGTGGAGTCAAACACCATGTCATGTTCTGGCTGAGGCAGGAGTACAGATAGCATCCTGCCTCATGTTACAGCAGCAATTGCCTAAAACATGCAGGGTAATGTTAATTACACTGGGGATAACCGGTGTGGAAAGAATGCTTAGGTCAGGTTCTGCCCCACTGAAGCCAAGATTTGGAATCTAAATTAACCATCATATTTTATCTCAAGAGAAAGGGGACTGAGGAGTCAATGAGGAGTAGATGGGGCAATCTTCAGAGCTTGGTTTCTGATGGGGACTTGGACTTTAACTGTCTATAGCTTTGTGGTTCTGAGGAGAGAAGCAGAAGGTACCCGCCACAGTGCACCTTCCAATGGGATAGGTGACAAACTTACTCATAACACAGCCAACCACCACCATGCTTCCGATGGGGTAGCAAATGTGACACAGTTGTGACAGTGGAGTCTTGCCTGTGAAAGGTTTTATCTGCAATGTGACAGGCAAGGATAGCCACTTCACAAGAGCAGCCTTTTGAGTGAGAGACTCAGGTGAGCATCAAAGTGGGGTAGTAGGAAGGCTGTACTGGGGTAGGAGGAAGGATGTACTGGGGTCCAAGGCACAGTGACTGGGCTGTGGCTACTGAGGCTGTGGTGCTGAATGAAGAAAGGACATGAGCGATGGATGCAGTAGTAAAAGAAGTCATTGAAACCTGGGTTTTCCAGACACAGTGGCTCCACCTTATACCTACAAAGTATTTTGGAGTGCTTTCTAGATGTGGAATGCCTTCCTGTTCACTCCTAGAGACTGGCCACTACTGCCTCATACTCTGATAAGTTTTGGATTCCAGGAAGTTCTAACCTTGCCTAAAACACAAGGCAGATCTATGGAAAAGCTGAGTTGAGTGGTCAGATCTTAGTCATGCCCATCTTAGCCTATGAAATATACACCAGGAGAGGAAAGCACAAAAACAAGACTGACATGATGAAAGGTTAAATAAAAATATAGAAATATGTGCTTCTCTGTTCTGCTGAATCTCAGGGGTTCTAACTCTTTAAAAATTGTGCGTGTGTTGGGGGGGGGGTATTCAGGTGTCCATGGAGTGTGAGTGTATATGTGTATGTGTGGGTGTGGGTGTTCAGGTGTGTATATGAGTGTGTGTGTGTGTATGAGTGTGTGTGTGTGTGTGTGTGTGTGTGTGTGTGTGTGTGTGTGTTGAGGTGTCCATGGAGGTCAGAGGCATTGGATTGCCTGAACCTGGAGTTATAGGCAGTTGTGAGCCATTCAAGGTGGGTGTTAGGAACCAAACTTGCACTCTCTATAGGAGGTACCTGTTCTTTCTAATTACAGAGCAATCTCTCTATCCCCTCACTGTCAGGAGCTACATGAGGTAGGTAGCTTTGCCTTTTTAGACCTATCAATATTCAGGGTGATCTGCATTCATGGTAATAATAGCCATGCCAGTCCTTTCTGGAAAAAGCTTTGTTCTGACACAAAACAACCATGGCCATGGGTTTTCCCTTATGCAACAGTGGGAAGGAATGCTTGCCAGCGAGTCAGTAGCCGGCAAACTCAGGTGTAGGGGCTATGGACTACAATATCGATTTGATGAGAATGGGTCCGTATGTTCAAGTGCTCAGTTTTTAAAAAGTTGATAATTTCTAACAATAAGGCTGCAACCATGAGATGTCCCAAAGAGGGACTGGGCCTTGTTTATCTTTTGCTCTTCCTCTCTCACCCTCTTCTCTAACCCCACTCATCCCTCCAGGTTGCTGGTGCTGAATCAAGGCAGCATTTAGATGTTTTCTTTCAAGAATTGCCCACTTGACTCCTGCAGTTCTTTTTGAGGGGAGGGGGGATCTTCTCCAATACTCATCTCCAAGGAACTGCTTTCTGTAGAGGGTCATTTTGGTAGTAACAGAGGGCTGTCCATATCCCTAGATGGAGAACACTTTGTTGACTGTTTCTGAGAGGTAGTTTTCATCTCATGGACCTGTCTTTGCCATGTCCTGGGGATATAGCCCTTGGGATACCACAATGGGATTGGTGACCCGGGGAGGCATGGCCAGGCTGTGCCCTCTGTTTTCTGTGCTGTGGACTGTCCTTTCACTCACAGGAAGTAGAGTGGTAGGTTTCTTCTGGCTCAGTGACCTCAATGCCATCTGGGGTGCTTGCTCTGGACTGGGTGAAAGCAAGCCCCATTTATTTTGGTACCATTAGGGCCATTTCCTGCTCTGACTCACCTGGGTCTGCAACTTTGCTTAGAAACTTGGGAATCATTAATTGAACTCCACAGCAAAGCTGTGAAATAACTGTGGTTCAATAACATGCAATAAACTTTCTAAAGTAATATTAAAAATAACCAGAGAGAGAGGGGCAGAGACAGACAGAGACACAGAGACAGTAATATACACACATAGAGGAAGACAGAGAAATAGAAATACACACAGACACACAGACACAGACACAGACACACACACACACACACACACACACACACACACACACACACACACAGAGAGCGAGAGAGAGAGAGAGAGAGAGAGAGAGAGAGAGAGAGAGACAGACACTGACTAGCCT